ATCATGCGGCCCATGCAGATGTAGATATGATCAGTTTCAAGAGGACAAAGGATTTCCTCTTTGCAGTAATCTCAGGTCACATTCCTTTTTTTGGGGCGAAGTTCAGAAGGAAAGGCGGGAAGGGGAATCAGGATACATTTCATATGATATCCCACTACATACATCTTATATACTTCATACATTTCATAAATGAATTCCCATCCCCATCCCGGCAAAGTTTATTAAAAATAATAAATGTATTTTATTTTTGTAGGAATCATAGTCTTCTTGGTGAAGGCGCACGTAGGCTGAGGCTGCTTGTCCCTCCAGGCAAGCCCGGTCTGAGGTTTGTGTCCAAAAGTATGGCAGGGAAACAGTCCAAGACAATAAGGCAGAAAGTCAATAAGTGAGGGCAAAAGAGTCCGTAGTCCAGTGCACAAGTCAGAGAGTTCACAAAGAGGAAACAGGAACCCAGTTATGTGCGCTGGGTCAGGAAGCAACAGAATCCATAGTTCGGCCCTTGGCGAACTAGATCTTCCGCGCTGGGGCCGGGGGCCGGCCTGGCTGCTTCTCCGGGTCCTCCTGTGGGTGCCCACAGCAAGCCCCTGATGGCAGGGCACGAGTAGGAATGAGTGGTAGCAAGGAAATAACAGGCTGCTTTCACCGAGCCAGCAGAATTTTGGCAATCAGCTGTTTGCTGTCTAATAATAATACTTTAAACAAAACGATTATTCCCCGAGCGCAGGGGCCCAAAAATGAGGAAAGCAAGATAGCAGTTAGTCTTAGAATTAATGGCAGAAAAATACAAAATTAGAACGGCGCCGATCCGCCATATTACTGTTTTAGTGGTTACTGGGGTCCAAAATGGCGGTTTCAGTATCCGCGAATTGGGCGAACACAGATCCTTGGTCCGGGGGGTGCCTGGAGGCACCTCCCCGCAGGCCCACGGCCCTCTGGAGCCTGGGAAAAGGGTTATTTTAATGTTGAATTAGTCTGAGGCAGGAAAGATACAAAAGTATCAAGCGGAAAGATTAAATGTTGCAAGTTTCAAGTGCTTTATTAGGGGAATGTTACAATGTAGGGAGAAGGGAAAGCAAAGAAAGGCTGAGTGCAGTCTTATTATTGAGCTGCCTGCTGGAGCACATCTCACCAGTTTCTTCCAATTGTGACAACCAGGAACTGCGGAACTCTCCACTGCAGTGCAGGCCAATCGTTGGCGGGGGCCCTCCGCCATCATTTCCAATCCGTAGGACATTGTTTTGTTTTCCATATTTGTTGACAGATTTTAGTTAGAACTAGAGATTAGCTAAAACTGCCTCTGTGAAGCAGCTCTATTAGTATGCTATCTGTTCCTAGTGATTTATTTCTCTCAAGTATGCTGACTGCAGTTTCCACTTCACTTTCTTCCATGAATGACTAGGTCCTCAATTCATCATTTTCATATATTTCTTCAATGGCTATTTATTTGTATTTGGTCATGTAATGTACTCCCCTGCTTGTCATATAGCACCCCCACTCTTCATTTTAATTTCGTTTTGATCTCTTGAATCTTCAGGAAGAGGTCTTTTGGTATTTTACACATGCACTTCAAGTTTGTTCATGCTGTTGTTCACTGACCAGTGGATGCAAAGTGTTTAAATATGAAAAAACACACTAATTTTGGAAACTAATAATGTGCATTTGGACAAATGGAAAGGAAATTACATACAGAAACTGTTATGAAACACATACTTTACATTGTTTGTTAAGTAATCCTATTAAATCAGGAATAGCCCAATTGTGAAGCGTACCAATTTTGGTAGTAACAATGGCTCTTGCACTGATGCATCACTGAGCTGGGACTTCCAATGGTATGAGCCATTGGATTGTCTTGCAAGGTAAGGAACTACAATCCACACTGCTGGATTGTAGCAGTTTGGCACCACTTTATCTCTTGTAGCTCTATCCTATGGAATCCTGAGATTTGTTGTAGCACCAGAGGTCTCTAGCAGATGTTCAATATCTCACAAAACTACAAACCTCAGAATCCTGCAGCATTAAGCCATGTGTATTTATGGGGTGTCAAACTGTTACAGTTTCGCAGTGTGGAAACAGCCAAAGGCAAACAAACATACATTGTTGCTTAATAGTATGGTATTTAGGAGCTGCTGGTTCCTAAGGAGCAGAGGTTCTCAAAGTGTGCTCCATGAAGCCCTTGGGGCTCTGCAAAGCATACTGAGGAGCTCCACAGTTCCCTCCTCTTCTTTCCCCTCCAAGCTTTCTCTCCTCTTTCCTGCTCCTCCCCTTCCCCCCAACCTCCCTCACAGTCAAAAGCCTTTTTCCCCCCCCCCCCCCCCCCCCGTTCCCAAAAGCCTTCCCCCACCTCCCTTGCTGGCCAGATCCTTTTCTCTTTGCCTTCCTTGCTTCCAAAAACCCATTTTCTTCCCACTGTTCAGTAGGTGCTTTGATCGTGCTTTATTATTATTATTATTATTATTATTATTATTATTATTATTATTATTTGCATGGCAGAAAGGGATTGAACTGGATGGCCCCTGGGGTTTCCACTGCTGCTGCTGCTGCTGCTGTTGTTACAAAGACTGAGTTGCCATCTGTTTGGGGTGCTTTGATGGTGCTTATCCTGCATAGCAGAAGGGAGTTGGACTGGATGTCCCCTGGGGTTGCTCCTATTACTATTATTATGGCAAAGGCTGGATGGCCATCTTATGTGGGTGCTTTGCATCAAAAACTTTGCCCATGCCATCCATCCACACACACACACACATTATATATAATATAATATAATATAATATAATATAATATAATATAATATAATATAATATAATAATTTATTGAGGCTCCACGAGAAGCCTTTGCTTCAAAAGGGCTCCACAGCTGAAAAAGTTTGAGAACCCCTGCTATGTAGCTTACTGTTAAGGATTTAAGCAAGGAGCAAAATATGCTTTCTGTTTGGTTGGCTTTTAAAAATTGTAGTCACATTTGAGTAATGGGAATATCCGTTTTCAAAAACCACTCCTGCTAGATCAGGTGTCCTCAAACTAAGGCCCGGGGGCCGGATACGGCCCTCCAAGGTCATATACCCAGCCCTCGCTCAGGGTCAACCTAAGTCTGAAATGACTTGAAAGCACACAACAACAACAACAACAACAACAACAATCCTATCTCATCAGTCATAAGCAGGCCCACACTTCCCTTTGAAATACTAATAAGTTTATATCTGTTAACATTGTTCTTCATTTTAATTATTGTATTGTTTTTAAGTGTTTTCTTTTTTGCATTACAAATAACATATGTTCAGTGTGCATAGGAATTCATTTATCTTTTTTTTCAAATTATAATCCGGCCCTCCAACAGTTTGAGGGATTGTGACCTGGCCTCTGTATAAAAAGTTTGAGGACCCCTGCGCTAGATAGACTTATCACTGCAGTGGTTATACAAACATCCCCTTCCTGGACAGCATAACTTAGTGCAAGAATGAATTCATTTTGTTTTATACACAAGGTTTTTGTCACTGAGATACTATTCCACACTCGCTGGCATCTATAACTATTGGTCTCTAGTTTTCATCAGCAATAAGCAACCAGCTTCAGCACTGAAAAATGAAACAGTACTGTGCAGCGCACCTGCTAAAATAATCTTTTCCTGCAAATCCTGTGTCATTCTCACACCTGCCAGTAGAGGCCACCATACACCTCATAAAACAGTAACACTAAATACTCAAGATGTATAACTTGGTTTTGTTGTTGTTATGTATCTTTAAGTTGTTTCCAACTACTCTAAGGCAAACCTTTCCCAGGATGATTTATTCAAAAAGGGTTTGCCTTCCTCAGAAGCTGAGATAATGTGACTTGCCCAAGCTCACCCACAGGGTTTCTAGTCCAAATTTTATAAATTCTATTAACTATAGTGGACAGAACTGCTATAGTGACCTTTTTAGAACAGTAGCGCCTTCCCTATACAGTGTTCACTCTCTGAATTTGCTCTTTGCTTTGTATGTGAACTGGCACAGCCACATTGAGGTAGACTGAGTTTTTCATTAATGGATTTAGATCATTTATCCTTTTCATTCTAAAGGGATGACAGACTGGCTTTCAAATTTTAATTTATTCAATTATATCCTGCCTTTTTCCCAATACTATGTTTCAAGGAGGCTTACAAAACAAATTCAAAACAAATGCTAAACCATAAAATTGTAAGTATAAAAATATTTTAAAACAATTTGTAACTCTGTGGACTGCCTCAGTCATGGTTCTTGTTATACTATAAAACATCTAATGCCAGTTAGACATGTTCCACAATCAAAAGGCTGTAAAACTTCATAAATTCTACAGTGTAGATCAATGGAGTCAGTATAGGGTAGCTTTCTATGTTCTTGAAAGCTACTTTCTTCCAAGTTTCTAATTCTGGATGATACCTGTTTCCACAACATCAGCCAAATATTATCGAAGGCTTTCATGGCCTGAATCACTGAGTTGTTGTGTGTTTTCTGAGATGTATGGGCATGTTCCAGAAACATTCTCTCCTGACGTTTCACCCGCATCTATGGCAGGCATCCTTGTTGGAAACAAGGAAAATTGGGTTTATATATCTGTGGAATGCCCAAGGTGGGAGAAAGAACTCTTGTCTGTTTTAGGTAGGTGTGAATGTAGCAATTGGCCAACTTGATTAGCAATTAATGGCCTATCAGTTTTCACAACCTCTGAGGATGCATGCCATAGACGCAGGCAAAATGTCAGGAGAGAATGATTCTGGAACATGGCCAAACAGCCCGGAAAACACACAACAACCTAACATCAGTCAAATAAATATTTAGGATGTTTTTTAACATGCTGATTGTAAAAGATACTATATTTTCCTGAGGACAAGAAAATACACCTGTTAAGAGAAAAGAGAATAAAACAACATATTCCAGACTGAAAGAAAATAAGATGAAAACAGGTTGTAAAACGAGAAAATAAATAAAGGGAAAAGAAGTTATTTCATGAGGACTAGAAAGTTCAAGTTTACTTAGGCTTACTTACAAAGGGTGCCGTACCTCTGGTAGCTCTCTGTGCAGAGGAATCTGTTTGCTGAGTGCTTCATTAAAGCCATAAATCTCCAGGCCACCTATAGTCTGCTCACTTGCATCAGTCTGGTTTGGAAATCCATCCTCTTCTGTAAGATGAGACTGGAACAGAAACTCTGAGTCTTGCATCTGCACGGCCACCTCTTTCTTTCTGCTTTGCTGCCTGACCATCCGATATCCTTTCCTAACTTTGGTGTGATTTCTCTTCACCGCAAATAACTCCATAGCCACCAAGAGCTCATCCTCTTTGAGAGGGAGGAAAGGCGATAGTCCTTCCATGGACAAATACTGTTGGCTGTCCTCTTGAGTGTCCAAGATTTCTTGAGGTTCTCCAAAATCTACCTGATATCCTTCCTTAGGGATAGATTCTGCTGGCCAGGATGCTCTTTCCTTGCTTAGATCTTTGGATGTGGGGTTGAGCAGTGTCACCATCACTAACAAAAATGCAAGCACGAGGAGCAACAAGAGAAATTGCCATTTCCGTGAGCTATGTCTGCACCTTTTCCTCAGAAACATAGTTTCAGGAAAAAAGTGGTGCAGACTGTCATGTTAAGAAAATCAGTATATCTTCCATCCCAGTTGTCTTGTTTCATTGCAGAAAAGGAATCCTCCATAATTTTTCGTCCTCTTCAGATATTGCTTTGGTTGTTGCATCCTTGTTCTTGGAGCCAAAGCATAAAACACCAGTTGTATTTACTTATGGAAGAAAGATGAAATAAATCCGCTTAACAAAAGGATAGCTTTTTATTATGATACCAAATACCAGATAGTCCAAGTGGGTCTGGATGGAAGAGGATATTATCAGTTGGCAAAAAAGTCCATTAAGGGCATCTTATAGTTGAATTAGCTTCCTTTTAGTCCTGAGACAAGTCCACATCTTGACAGGTTTCTTCCTTACACATATGGCTTGTTCCAGCAAAAATAAAAAACCTCAGTGCTGTCAGAGGTGCACAAAAAGGATTTCTCCGTTCAAGCAGAGTTGGTAGCTTTCCTCCCTTTCTTCTGATGCTCCAAGTTCACTTAGAACCATTTATGCAAACGACTCAGCCTCTGACTTGGTTTTACACATAAGTACACACTTTGCCAGACATAACAGAGCAAGTGTGTGTGCATGCAAGTGTCTTTCCCGTGGTCCTAATGCCCTCACTGTTCTCATACTATCAAATCAAAACCCCGTAATAGAAGCAGAAGCTGGTGGCACTGAGAAGTCAAAACTAAACAAGATGCACAGTTTACGATGCTTATTTATAATTTCCTTCCCAAGCAAAGGAACTGCTTTGCCATACACAAAAATACCCTGTTTTGTTCCAGAATTTGAAGAGTGTTTTTGACTGCCTATAATCTGACAAAGAATCATGACAAAACACAGTGGGCTTTAAGAAGAATTAATTCATTGTTATTGCATTCATGTCACGACTTTCTTAGAAGGTCAGAGCAGCAAATATAGATGTCTTCTCTCATTCATTCCCACCACACCCATGTGAGGTAGTTTACACTAAGAACTAATGAGCTTGATTTGGTTTGATGGAATTAATGGCTGGAGCTCAAGTTTCTGAACCTGCCATTCTATTCATTACATCAAACTAACTCTGTTTCTCAAAGAATGGTGGCAGGGAACATTCACAAAACCAAAAGGAAATGCATACCAATCTATTGAGCAAATCAGTATATGGAGCAAGATACTCATTTAAGGCACAGGAGCTCTCTCCAGTTTTAACTCTGGCAACTATGGAAAAATTTTAAGACTGAGGATGCATCCACACTGTAGGATTAATGCTATTTGACATTACTTTAACTGCCGGCATTAAATGTTTGCCATATTTATATTGTGCTCCGCCTTGGGACCCCTTCCAGGTGAGAAGGGCAAAATATAAATGCCATAAATAATAAAATAATAATAATTTTATTTGTACCCTGCCACAATCTCCCCAAAGGGACTCGGGGTGGTTAACATGGAGCCTAGCCTGAGCAATTATAATAAGGCAAAGTAAAATAAAATAAAATACATACAAAAACAGATGATAACAAACCAATCAATCAATCAATAAAAAATAATGCTATGGGCACTTGGCATCAATAGTTTGGTGAAGTAACAGCACTCCTTGGCAGAAAAAACTAAAGACCTTGTAAAAATAGAATTCCCAGGATTCCACAGTACTGTACAGGCAGTCCTCAAGTTACAAACATCTGATTTACAAATGCCTCATAGTTAAGACTGGGGGTGAGACAAGAGGAAGTGATAAAAATCTACCCCTCAGAAGGGATTTATTTATTTATTTAAAACATTTATATTCCACCCTTCTAACCCCGAAGGGGACTCAGGGCGGAGCACAGCATATATACAGCAAACATTCAATGTTGGGACAAGAATTCATATGAGTATGCATAAACATTAAAAACATTTATCAAAATATTAATATACACCATTTGAAACCGTCATTGGTCATCTGTGTCACTCTTGGATGAGTTAGCATAGGGAAAAGGTGCCTCAACTGAAGTTTTATTACCAATCCTTGTTTCCACAACAAGCCAAATTTTGAAAAATCTAATTTCCACAGGGACAGAAAGTGAAATCTTCTGAACAGGGGTAAAGATTCCGTCATTGGTTCAATTCCATCATTGGTGGAGTTCAGAATGCTCTTTGATTGTAGGTGAACTATAAATTCCAGCAACTCAATTCTCAAATGTCAAGTCTATTTTCCCCAAACTCCACCAGTGTTCACATTTGGGCATACTAAGTATTTGTGATAAGTTTGGTCCAGATCCATCATTGTTTGAGTCCACAGTGCTCTCTGGGTGTAGGTGAACTACAACTCCAAAACTCAAGGTCAATGCCATCAAAACCTTCCAGTATTTTCTGTTGGTCATGGGAGTTCTGTGTACCAAGTTTGATTCAATTCCATCATCGGTGGAGTTCAGAATGCTCTTTGATTGTAGGTGAACTGTAAATCCCAGCAACTACAACTCCCAAATGACAAAATCAATCCCTTCCTCAACCCTACCAGTCTTCAAATTTGGGCATATCGGGTATGTGTGCCAAATTTGGTCCAGTGTGTGAAAATATATACATACTGCATATCAGATATTTACATTACGATTCATAACAGTAACAAAATTACAGTTGAAGTAGCTACTAAAATAATTTTTACGGTTGGGGATCACCACAATATGAGAAACTGTAATAAGTGGTCACAGCATTAGGAAGACTGAGAAACACTGCTTTAATAGGGACTAGTCACACATTCTCAACTTCAGAGAAAAGTAAGGGCAAACCCCCTCTTGTAAAATTCTGCTAAGAAAACCCTATAATAGATTTGATTGAGAATTGCCATAAATTTGAAATGACCTGAAAGCGCAGAAGAAGAACCAAAAATGGTAGTAGTCCTCATCTCGACATGACACTTATTTTTGTTATTCTCATTATTAACTTTATTTATATCCTGCCTTTCTTCCCATGGGGAGTCAAAGTGACTAAGAATCTCACACTAAACAAGTTTAAAAAGTGCAATACACAAGTTAAAAATAATTAAATAATAACAGTGTAGTTACTTATAGACCAAAGGAGGCATTCCAGTTTGTAAAACGTGTGGGCCCAGTTAGCAGCTCCATCAAGATGCATTGTCTGCATAGCTGAGAAGAAAACAAATCTATGTAAACCATGTGACTGATTCCATGACATCCAAGAATTCTGGGCGGTTATACAACATAATTATTTCCTCATTCTTCCCATGGCACCATGATGAGTGTTTTGGAACTTTTAAAGTGTAATTTATTTGCTGTGGTTGCTGCTATTTTGTGTATTTGGCATGATGTAGTGCTTCAGAACTTCAAAGGCATTTTCTAGTAGTGTGTTAATAATAAATTAGAACAGAATTGCTCAGAACATAATGTTTGAGGTTATCGGAGCTCTGTGTTCAGAATGCTTGATGATTCACAAACTCTGAATGTATGATTAAAAGGCTATTAGTTGCCTTAATGGGGAAGGGAGAAACTTATTGTGTGTGACTGATTTTTTTTCTTAGCAGAATCCCACCTATTAATTCATTCCAGCTGTTTTAATATCTGCAAATGATGCAAGACCAATTACTTGTAAATTGCTTCTAGTTTTCACTGCAGATTGCTATATTATCTATATTTATAGAAGGTGAAGCAAAAACTTTAGACTGATTTATTTATTTATTTGCGGTATTTGCATACAACTCTTCTCAACCCCGAAGGGAACTCAGGGCAGTTCACAGTTTTGGCAACAATTCAAGGCCATTGGTAAAAAAAAAAACCAATATTAAACATCAAAATTGACCATGCCCTGATAAAATATTAACATTATTAAACACATCACATAAAATAACAGCCGTCATCATGGTCATTGCACTTTCAACATTCGCTTTTACTTTAAATATTCCTATGATGGGCCAAACACTTAGTTCCACAGCCAGGAAGGAGGGGGCTGACCTGACCTCACTCAGGAGGGAGTTCCACAGCCATGGGGCCACCACCGAGAAGGCCCTGTCCCTCATACCCATCAGCTGCACCTGTGAGGCCAGTGGGGCTGAGAGCAGGGCCTCTTCGGAAGATCTTAATCTATGAACTGGTTCATAGAGGGAGATACGTTTGGACAGGTAAGTTGGACCAGAGCCATTTAAGGCTTTATAGGCTAAAGCCAACAATTTGAATCGTGCTCGGTAGCTATTAGGCAGCCAATGGAGTTGCCGCAGCAGGAAGGTTCTATGCTCCTTGTGCGCCACCCCAGTTAACAACATAGTTGCAGCGCATTGGACTGTTTGCAGCTTCCAAACAGTCTTCAAAGGCAACCCCATGTAGCGTACATTGCATAGTAGAGCACGTTTAATCTTACAGCAGGTAACTTTTGACCACAGATTTTGGATTATGTATGTCACAGTTACTAAAATATAGAACAAAAATGTATGTATGTAAATCTTAACAGACTCTCAAGAAAGTAATATACAACAGTATTCTATGTTTTCTATTGGCATAACTTGTCTGAGACTTTATAGCATTAAACAAAAATGTTATCAGCACATTAACATAGAGAAATACACAACAGACTAAAGGTAATAAAGTCCATCCTTTCAGTGAAGAAATTCAAAGGTCTCTATCTTTATCTTCAAAATAATTCTTCTTTTGGCAAGACAGTCTCAAGGAATTCTTCTTAGGCAACAAGGTCTTTCTTAGGCAACAAAATCTCTACAAGGTCTTCCGGAATGTTATCCTTGTTTCGAACAAATATCTTCCTCAGGGTGTAGTCTGTTATCATATTATGCTTAGTGCACTAAATAAGGAGTAGAAATAACATACACAATAGATACATGAAACTCCCAAAATAACATTGCTAGAAAAACATTTTGTAATGACAGTAAAGAAACACGCTACTCTACTTACATTCTCTTCAGTTACTAAAATGCCATAATAGCAAACACCCTCTGATAATTACTTTGTAACAATTTAAAGTAATAGGAAACACCAATCATTAACTCAACTTGTTAATGTTGCTAATATTTAATGATTTTTGAAAATAATTTTTGAAGCAATTGTTAAAGGATTTAATGAAAAATTCATTTTAATGACCTATTTCCAAGCTCTAATTACCCCTGATTTGGTTTGCTCCCAGCAGATGAACCACATCAAGAAATTTTAGTTCATTCCATAAAACCTCTTAACAACTACATTCTCAATTATTGCAACTTATACATATTTGTTTATTTAACACACAACTTACCGTATCTCAATCTATGTAGCCACTGCTGCCATGAAGCAGCATTGAAAATGTATTTTAAGCACCGATGTATTCCTGCCTTCTCTTCCCTGTTCTATCCAGGATTGGCAAAAACAAATAAGACAAATAAAAGCCTGACAGGTGTTAAAAAGATTGAAATAGATAATAGCCTTGAAGCAATCAACATATTGTTAAGAGAGAGAAAACCCAGCATATTGCACATAGGACAAGGTCTTGTGGAAGGTACTTTAAAAGACTTCAGAAAACAAAGGGAGGAGAGAGAACATTTAAGCACTTGCAGGGGTTGTTTATCTGACAGTTTCTTTTTTGATCTCTGCATCAGTGAACTTAATCTCTTTAATATCCTGC